TAATATGATAATTTGGATAAAATAGGAAAAATATAAATATATAAAAAAACTAACCATAATGAAAAACATTAATGAAAGTATCAAGTGTCTTGTTCTCCTGACTGCAAAGTACGTTTTTTTGATGATTCATCAGTTATTTCACTTTCTCCTCTCTCTTTCCGAACAGTACGGTAGTAATTAGCATACGTCATTCTTTTATTTTCTATTTTCTACTGAAAGGTAAAACTGAAACTTGTAATGTAAAATAAATCCCAAACAAAGACACCTTCCATACATCAAAACTTGATGATGACCTATTGAAGCGTCATTTATTTATATCCTTTCCTTTATATTCTTTCCTTAACTTACACTTCAGTCACCAAAAATTTCTTGTCTAGGAATAACGGGAAATCTTTCTTGACAGGATTCAGTAGAAGGATTCAACTGAAAATAAACAATGGAATTTTATAAATAGGAACTCTACCATAGCCTTAATTCGATAAGTCAAAGATTTACGAAGATGCTCCCTAAATTTTAGGTTTTCTTGTCAATTTCCCTACTGTGTTTAAAACATATCCGTTGCCTTCAGCTATATCCCAAATAACATTTATTTCAATTTCGTTTCTTTCGTCACTGAACGGGAACGTAACAGGTCATACAGGGGAATTTGCTACCGCCATTTTTTAAAGGACATCAGGAATATATCCAATATCGATTTCTATCGATAAAACTAGTGCATCTGTATCGTCTATTGATAAAGGATAGAAATACTTCGTACGTGAACTAGTTCACCAATAAAAAACGCTATTGAAGTATTCTTCCTATAGTCATCGAAATTGCAACCCCACTTCTATATGAATCTGTTGATAGACAATGTTAAAATATGTTTTTACGTTGAACAGCTGTCGACCCCCTGTGAACAACTCTCTGAAATAGAGAAATGACGAAAAAACGAGATAGAAACGACAAAAATCTATTTCTAAAGACAAAATTGAAATTTTCGATTGGTAATGTCAACAAAGTGCTAGGTATCACTTTGTTGAAATTACCGTCAAATATCGAGAGATATTTATGACTATTTTTTTGAGAAAATCATTGATATAATTTGAATTGATGTAAAATGGAAAAGTGAAGCTAAAGTTAGGCATTAGTATAGTTTAACTATCGGTTGTGATTGGTGAAACGCGCGTCGAGAAAAAGATTGTAGTTCTGTGACGTCAAAAATTGCAGTACTGAAGCTTTCGCCTTGTGGTGATTATTTTTATATCCAAGAATTGAGTTCTTTGCCGATCCTATAGATGGAGTATCTATAACGGAAGATGCCATCGCTCTTATTCACCCAGGATTGTTCTTTAAGGACAGTTTTGTCCAGCAGTGCATTTGTGGTTCAGCCTAGCACTACTGAAGAGACCAACGCGGGTCGAAACCGTGCTGTCTGGTGTTGATTCATAAACGCTTCGTGTTTGGGCTGTCGTTTTCAACTTGTTGTCTGGCAGTGAAATCTGCAGCGGTAGACAAAGAACGAATCTCATCGGCGGTTAATGTCGAAGCTTGGCTTTTCAACTGATCGCCTTGGGGAACCTCAATTATCTTGGGTATTCGAAGATTGACTGTTTAATTTGAAAAAAAAACTTTTAGGAGACGCATAGTTAAGAACATTTCAATGTTCAAAGGTTAATGAAAACTTCTTGAAACATTGTTTCAAGAAGTTTTCATTGAACTTACTTGTTCGTCAGTGGAAATTTATTCACGGTTGATTATTACAATCATATCAGACTCTATTTCCATTAACTTCGAGTTCTATCCTCCTACAACATTTTTATTTAGCTCTTTGAAGATGGGTGATAGTTAAAAACGTCATATTTATTACAATTAATCTGCAAGCATTTTAAAATGCTACTTTAACGACATATATACGTAATTGCCATTATTTCAATTAGTTTGTAGAAATGATGTCAAATAATCGAGTAGAATTTCAGTTTTTCAATTTACAAAATATATTAGATCAGTAAATTTTTTCCAAAGAAATGTAGATAGATGGTTATTAGAGGTTATTTGAAAATTCAATTTGATTATCGTTTCGTCATAAGTTCGCAACCTTCAAATCTTATGGTTATGATTACTCGTTTATTTATTTATTTATGCATTTATTCATTACACAAGTAATACTGATAATAATAAGTTTATTTACCAAAAAAATGTTACTACATAACACTAGAATTAATTGCTATTGAGATGTAAATAAACATGGATTTCCCACTAAAACTAAAGTTGCGCAAATAAATTTACAATTTTTTTTGCTGTTTACAATATACAATGGTTTGAATTGGTCTCACTTTGTTAATTTCTATATTGATCCTTAACATTTTGACAATTGTTTCAGATATGACTACAATAAAGTTAACAATACACAAACATACAATTTGCGAATTATTAGAATTGACAAACTATATCGATTCATATAAAAATGTATTAATAACATAAGAATCAGAAGGTCAGTTAGTCAATGAGAGAGCGAACCAGATCTCGATTCATAGTAAGAACGTAGTTTCTGATTATTTTTTTCAACATTTGACAAGAATTTATATTCATTATATTATATCAATAACCGACTCATTGTTATGTATATTGAGGGTGTTGAAATTTGGTAAATGATTTCTGTAAGCTGTAAAAGTCAGAAATTCAGTTTTTTCAAAGTTTATTGTTGATAATTGATGATTAAACCAGTCAATTATCTTAATTGATAACCAAAAAAATACTAAATTCGATTGAAATTCTGGGTTTTTTGACGACAAAACGAGATAGAAACGACAAAAATGTATTTCTAGTGACAAAATTCAAATTTTTGATTCAAAACCGAATCAATACTAAATTAGATTGCTAGAATGTAATTCTGGGTTTTTCACCGAAAAAATCGAGTTAGAAACGACAAAAATCCATTTCTAGTGACAAAATTGAAATTTTTGATTGATAATCAGTAGTTGTTTACAGCTGATTCTCGGCCTCCCCCCCCACTATGACGTATTAATTGCTTTTTTATTGGTTGTTTTTTGGTGAAGTCAAGGTGATGTGACCTTGAAGGGTGTAGTGTATGGATCGTTCAGAAATTTTTTCCCGGTTCTAATCCTCATCCCACCATTTGCTTTTTTTGTTGTGCAGTGAAGTCAAGGCGTTGTGACCTTGAAGTGTCTGGTGCATGGATCGTTCAGATTTTTTTTTCATATGAGATTTTGTGTGTGTATGTGTGTGTGTGT